GTGAGCCGCGGCTGCGAGACCCGTGAGCTGGCGCTGCCCCGCGACGGCCAAGGCCGCCTGGGCTTCGAGGTGGACGCCGAGGGCTTCGTCACGCACGTGGAGCGCTTCACGTTCGCCGAGACGACGGGGCTGCGGCCCGGGGCGCGCCTGCTGCGCGTGTGCGGCCAGACGCTGCCCACGCTGGGCTCCGAGGCCGCCGCCCAGCTGCTGCGCTCGGCGCCCAAGGTCTGCGTCACCGTCCTGCCCCCCGACGAGAGCGGCCGGCCGCGCAGGTCAGGGCCGGGACGCGGGGAGGTGGGAGGACCTGGCCGCTGGCCACCGCGGAGCCTGTGCCTCTCGGGTCACCGTTAGCGTTCTCCCGAGAATACCTACCGTGAGGAAGGCTCTCCTTCTCGAGAGAATGCCGTGTCTCGTAATCTGTCTGAGTCACGTATGCAGAGTGAGGCCAATTAAGCAGGCTGTCTTCACTGCTCAGGATCTAATAGCCAGCCCCATCTTTTTTTTTTAGTTTTTAAAAATTATTTATTTATTTAGAGAGAGTGCGAGAGCACGAGCCGGGGGAGGGGCAGAGGCAGAGGAGAGAGAGAATCTGAAGCTGACTCCCCGCTGAGCGCAGAGCCCACGCCAGCTGGATCTCACAACCCTCAGATCCAGGTCTGAGCCGAACCCAAGATTCAGATGCTCAACAGACTCAGCCATCCAGGCGCCCCTACAGCCCCATCTTTTTTTTTTTCTTTAAAGATCATCCACAGATTACTTGCTGCGTTAAGCCCGGATATGCAAACTTTTTCTGTAAAGGGCCAGGTAGTAAATATTTAGGTTTTCTGGGCCCTCTGGTCTCTGCTGCAGGTACACAGCTCTGCTGTAGCACAAAAGCATCCATAGACGATCTGTAAATGCATGAGTTTTCTTTATGCCACGAAAACTTTATTTGTGGACACTGAAATTCGAATTTTCTTGATTTTCACATGTCATGAAATATTCTTTTGATTTCTTTCAACTATTGAACAATGTAAAAACCACTCCTGGTTCAGAGAAGTACAGGAAACAGTCACACCTGCTAAAACAGAAAGAGGCACGGGCTGGATTTGGTTCTTGGGCAGTAGGTTTTAGATCTCGATGCTAAGGGATTTACTTGTGTTAGTATTTAAAGCCTCCCAGCAACCTATGAATCAGTATTGTTATCCCCATTTCACAGCTGGAGAAATCGGTGTCCCAGTGAGTTGCCCAGGATACACAGGGGCAGCCCTGGGGCTGGAAAAATGGCCAGTAGTCAGGCAAACATTTTTCACTGTTAGGGAGTTTGGAGAGCTCTCCTCCTGGAAGTGAGCCTGGAGCACGGCTGGGAGTGGGGCTGGAGACGCAGGACACAGGGCCGGGGCTTCCTGCCTGACACTGCCCCCACTCCTCCCCGCAGGAGCTTTTCGGAGCTGTACACGCTCTCTCTGCAGGAGCCCAGCCGGCGGGGGGCCCCAGAGCCGGCGCAGGATGAGGCCCCAGGGGTCATGACCCTGCTGCCCGTGACGAAGCAGCTGCTGCAAGTGTGCCTGCATGATGGTGGCAGTCCCACAGGCCCTGGGGATCTGGCTGAGGAGAGGACTGAGTTCCTGCACAGCCAGAACTCACCATCACCCCGCAGGTGCCCCCCTCTCGGCCTTCCCTCTTCTGTAGCACAGGGAGGCTGGACAGGCAAGGCCCGTGAAAGCTGGGGCCAGGGGGTGCAGCTTCTCTTGCTGAGCTGTCCCTGATCTCCCCAGCTCCCTGTCAGACGAGGCTCCAGTCCTGCCCAACACCACCCCAGACCTCCTCCTGGCTGCCACGGCCAAGCCGGCAGCACCCAGTACTGGCAGAGAGACACCCCCCACCCAGGTGAGCAGAAACAAGACTCTGGAGCCCAAAGAATAGGGGTGGGCACAGTGGTGATGGCGGATGTCACTGTATCCATACCCATTAATACCCCCCAGGACGGGCCAGTCAGCCCTAGTGGTTGTGAGGACAGGGACGACCCGGCCCCAGAGCTGAGGGCCTCCTTCCTGCCACGAACCTTGTCTCTGCGGAACTCCATCAGCAAAAGTGAGTCTAGAGCAAGGTTTGGGGTCGGGGGGTGGGGGGCTCAGAGGGGCTGGCTTGGGCTTCCCTGGCTGAGCCCACGTCCTTGTGCCCATAGTCATGTCTGAGGCAGGCAGTGAGACCCTGGAAGACGAGTGGCAGTCTATCTCGGAGATCGCCTCCACTTGCAACACCATCCTGGAGTCACTGTCCCGGGAGGGTGAGGCCACCAGGGCGCTGGGTGTCGGACCCAGGATAGGGTGGGGCTCTTACTCCTTTTACCTCCCTGCCCAAATGATCTTTGTGTCCCCACAGGACAGCCCATCCCGGAGAATGGAGAGGCCAAGGGTACTCCAAAGGCTGATGCTGAGTAAGCCTCCCTGTGCGGATCACGTGCGCGCGTGTGCTCGCCGTCGGTGCCCATACACGAGAGCTAAGCATTGTCCCAGGCAGGGCTCTGCTCTCCCCGACATATAAGTCTGTGAACACAGGGGCTGGGCCCGTCTCATTTAAGTGGCTCTGGGAGCCAGCCAGGGGTGCTGTGGCCTACCTGGTCCCGTGACCTGACCCCTCTGTCCTCAGACCAGAACCAGGGAGCCTGTCCGAGAAGGTCTCTCACCTGGAGTCCATGCTCAGGAAGCTGCAGGAGGACCTGCAGAAGGTGACGGGGTGGGCTGGGGGTCGGCAGGGAGTTACAGGGCAGCCCTGGGAAAGGAGCCAGCCCCGTGACACCTGCCGCCCCCCCCACCCCAGGAGAAGGCCGACAGGGCAGCCCTGGAGGAGGAGGTGCGGAGCCTGCGGCACAACAACCGGAGGCTGCAGGCGGAATCGGAGAGCGCAGCCACCCGCTTGCTCCTGGCCTCCAAGCAGCTGGGCTCACCCACCACCGACCTGGCCTGAGCCGTCTGGTCCAGCCTCAGCCTGGCTGTGGACCTGCTCGCAACTGCTCAGGCCCTTCAGGGTGTCTGGGTCACAGCAGGGCCTTGGGCCCACCTCAGGAACTCTCCCTGCGCTTGGAGGCGCGTCTTAGCACTGCCGCACTCCCCCGCCCATTATTTGGTGGTCAAGTTGCCCTTACCCCGTCCCTGTTTGTAAATATTCTGTGGAGAAAAGGGGACTTCAGGGAGTAAAGAAGCCACTACTATTTGTGTCTGTGCGGGTGTTCATGATATGACAGGGGAAGGAGTTTTGCCCCCAGAGGCTCCAGCCAAGTTCCCAGGACCGCTTAGAAGGACAGGCCTTTGGAACATTCGCTCAGGGTTAGGTTGGCACTCACTGAGGGGTTCTCTGAAGCTGGATCACCCCTTGGCTTCTCTCTCCCATTTATTTGGTCTGTTGGGAAGCAGGTGGTCACACCCCGCACCTACTCTGCTTTGTTATGGGAGCCAGGCCCAGCCCGGGCCTTACCCTGAAACCAAACCTGAGGGACGGAGATCAGGGGCAGAGGGACAGAGGTGGACCTGCAGGGCAGGGGAGGGATGGAGTTTAGGGATCAACGAGAGCCTGACTATGCCGGATATAAAGGCCCTCTCACTTTCCAGGCGCTGCCCCCCAGTACAGGCCGCATCTCTTCTCTGTAGGCCGGCGCTCCCTTGACCCCAAGAGGTGACTGTATGACACTGGGAAAGCCAAGGGAGAGGCGTGGCCTGGGCGGGAGAACTAGGGCTCACTCGTACCCCTTGGGGCCTCAGGCTGGGCACACTGCGCTTAGCTAAGCCGACCGCTTCCTCCGGTTAGGAGCCTTCTCCCCCCTTCTCACCCCTCCGGGTCCCTCCTGGGGCGCCCCCTTGCCACGCCCCCCGTGCGGGGGTTCCATCAAGCCCCGCTTCTCCGGGTGCTATCCCGCCCGTTCGCAGGGGTCCTGACCTGGCGACTACGATCGGGGCGGGGGGGGGGGGGGGGCGCCAGTCTCTTGCCGGAAGCGCAGCTTGGCCTGGTCCCTGAGTGGCCCACCTGCTTCGGGCCCCACCCCTGACTCCGCCCCCTGGGCGAGAGGCTGGAGCGCAAGCTCGGCTCTCCAGACGTGTTTTGGTACCCCGACGTTCCGCGGCCCGCTGGCGTCCTCCTTGCAGGCACAGTCCATCGGAGTCTACAGCCAGGGCCTGCTGTTCCCAGGGGACACGCTCCAAGCAAGCCCCACTGACAACCCCACAGGCCTCTGCCTTCACCCTCCCGCAGCCGTGCGAAGCCCAGAACTTAGACGCCGTCGGACTCAGGACAGGGGTTTCCCCGCGGCGCATTACCTGCCCCGCCCCTCGCAGAGTGCTATCTCTGCGCGTGCGCACTCGGGAAGGCAGGGTCTTGCGGGCCAAGGCCTTTCACGAAGACTGTTTTACTGCGCCTGCGTCGGGCCAAGCCGGAAGTACGTCCAACTCCCCCTCTTCGGGCTGAGGCCCAGCTTTTGTTTAGGCCTCGCTGGGCTGCAAGTTTTTTCTTCGGCCTTCGCAGAACAGGATGTCACAGCATAGGCCTTTACCTGGAATCTCCCCTTCCCCAACAGATGCAGACTTTCCCTTGCCCATCCGAGAGATGAAATTCAAACCTCTTTAGTCCAGTGTCCTTGATCTTTTATAGCCTGGCCCCATCAAACCTTTCCAACATTGCCTCTTTTACCCTCCTCACTTTCAAACGCTGCTAGCCGCTCTGTAAAGACTCACCCTGCTCTGTTGATCTAAGACCTAAAGCTGATAGGGCCTCTGTGACGCCCTTCCGGAAACTACTCCATCCCCACAGCCGATAGGCCCTACTGGCCTCACACTACACCATCCACCTCAGCTGCCTGCTTTCATGCCCCCGCATTTCATTCCCCCGCATTTCATTCCCAGGGCATCCTCAGACTGCAGGCTTCTAGATGGCAATGCAAATACTCATCCAGCTCTGTATCACTTAATGTCCAGCCTGACGTGACCAGCAAAGAGTGTGCTGTTTGCTGAAAGAAGGGAAATCTCCAGCCAGCTTGGCAATGAATTTATTAGTTCAGAGTAGAAAGAGCAAGAGTCCAACTGCTTCGATTCTTCAGTAAAAACTGAGCCTCTTGATTGGAGAGCTGCCAGCCTGCCCTCCCCCCTACTCTCCAAACAACTAGCCCTACTATCAAGGCACTTGAGAAAAGGGGAAACAGAGGAGTCTCAGACCGAACCTCCCTGGATCCTAGGAGGGGCCAGGCCAGGCCCTCAAATGCTGGTGTTAGTTCAAGGACAATGCCAGCACCACAGAGGGGCTGGTAAGGGTCATTATTTTGGCACAAGGTGGGAATAATCCAGGATTTGAGGAAGACACTTGGTGATAAGGCTTTGTGGCCTCAAAGGCCATAGCTCCAGCCTGTCCCTCTCTCTAGGAGAGTATTAGAAGCTGGAGGGTAGGGATGGGAGCCCCCAGAATTCCCTATAAAGAGAAAGGGGGTGAACATCAGGATAGGGGAAGAGTTTGAGTCCTCCCTGCTCCCCACTTTCCAGAGAAGTTAATGCTTCTGCTTAAGCACCTCCAAAAAGAGAGAGAGATAGACACTGCCAATAAAAGAATAAAATGCACCCCCCCAGAAGACATTACCCAAAGAAGTTGGGGGCAGTTGGAGCACACCCCATCCCCCCCAGAATCCATAAGTGCTCGCTTTGGGAGGGTTTCAATCTCCTGCAACCCAGTGCTCCAGGCGGGGTAAGTGTCACCCACTTAGGAGCTGATCTGACTCAGAAGGGCTGAGAAGTCCATATCTGCGATGGAGGAGAAGTCTTCATCCCCTGAGAGGAGGCCGTTGGGGAGCCCAGAGGCCCCTAGGGGAGCAGGAGTTGGATCAGGGGGCCTCTGGGACCCTGTCACCAGGCGCGTTATTGCCTCAGGGTACTCCATGAGCATGGGCTCGGCTGTGTGTGGGGCCACAGATACACCCTGGTTCAGGAGCTGCTGAAACTCAGAGTTGTCAACGGATGCCAGGTCTGTGAACACGGCGGGGTCAGCGCTGTTGCCCAGCAGGGCCCCCAGGTCTTCGTCGGCATCAAACTGCAGCTGCAGCAGGGCCTCTGACAGCGTCCCTTCCCCGGCCTGGGTGGTCTTGGGGGCTGGGGGGACCACAGCCTGAGCAAGGCCTGGGGCTAAGATTGGGGCAGGGGCTGGGGCAGGGGCTGGGGCCAGGATTGGGGCAGGGGCCGGGGCCAAGGCAGAGGTCTGGTTTGGGATCTGCCCCGAAGAAAAGACCATGGGGGAGAACTCCTCGAAGTTGATGGTGCTGAGGGACGGCGTAAAGGGATAGGACTGGGGAGCTGGGGAGAGAGAGACAGAGTCAGGGGTCAGAGAGAGCTTCAGAGACCCACCCCGTCTGTGCACCAGCCCCTCCCCAGGAGCTCTCTGCCAGCACCCCACTCCGTCCTTTTACTCTGCCTGGTCGACACGGTTCTGTCCTCACCCCCTCCAGCCCCCACAGCTCTCCCAGCTTCTTAGAGGAAGGGATGCTGTCGGCGATCAGCTGGTACAACTGCACTTTACAGCTGAAAACGAAACCTCGGGAGACCACGAGACCAAGGAGCATCCAGTGTCGTGGCCTGAAGCAGGGCACTTCGTTACTCTTTTTTGAGCTACAGAACAGCACGTACGTTCTGCTACCTTAGAGGAAATTTTGATTCCCTAATTCAACTGGAAGCTGAAGGCAAAGAGTGCATTTTTAAACTGTTTCCCAAGGAATCCAATACGGGATTTAGCTGACACAGTGGTTTCTCAGCCCGCAGTGCTCATTGGTAAGGGCATCAGCGGGCTGGGCCACACTTCCGAAGCCTCCGATTGCACAGGTCAGTGATGGGACCGGGACCCAGGAATGCACATCTTCACCACTCCCTAATGGCTCAGATGTAGGTAACTAGGCCTCAAGCCCTGGGAAACATGAGCCCAACAGAGAGCAGGCTTCAGACACCTGCTGGTGAAGCTGACTGCTTGTCCCCCCAGCCCAGGTGTCTAAACCACAGGCCAAACAGATTGGAGCCTGTAGTTCCAGTGGGGCAACAGGAAATCCTTACCTGGCTTGGGAACGGAAGTTGTGCTTCGGGAAGGCACAGCAATGCGCCGGGGTGGAGGCCGGGGGTCGGTGGGTCCTGTGCGGCAAGACTGGGTCAGTCCCTAGCTCCCAGTTCCTAGCTCCCTCGTAGTCTCCCTCCCCCGTCCACCACCTTCTCTCTAATGCTCTCCACTACTCCTCTCACCATTGAAAGGACTCTTTTTCATGATGCTCTTGAAGGTCTCATATGTCCTTTTGCGTTTCTCCTCAATCCGGTGACGATCATCTAGAAAAGAAATGGGGAGAAGTGGGCCTTGCTCTTTTCAGCTGGATCCCCAGAGCTTGCTTGCTTTCTTTTTTTGATCCTCAGAGCTTTCAAAGGACGCTCAGGAGGAAGATGATGATGAGAAAAGCTTTCCTTAAGACCCTTTCTCCAAACCCTCCCCGCCAATGAGAAGAGCCGCACAACACTGTGAGACACAACAATTCTGAGAATCCCACAGCTTTCCGAGAAGGCCTCTGTTAGCTGAATGCAACCCCCAAAGTCCACATGGACGCCTCCAAGTAAAGGGGCCAAGCTCTGGGGGGACAGGAGCCCTTGGGGGACCCTGTCTCCAGCTTATTTGCATCGCCCACATCCTAGCTCACTCCCAGCCTGGATCCAGGCCTGGCCAAGATCTTTGTGCTCTGGGGCAGCTGAGGCACGACAGGCTTGCGGAAGACCAACAAGAGACCCGCACTCTTACCTCGGACGGTTGGCTAGTTCAGCCCGGGGCCTCCAAGACTGCCTACGTACCGTGGCACGTGGATAACTCCAAAGCCCTCAGTCCAAAGCCAACCTCATCATCTCACCTCCAAAATCTGCTTCCTCCTCCTCCAGGGTCCCCTCACCACCCATCTGCCCTGTCACCAAAACTAGAAACCTTGAGATCGTCCTCAACATCTTCCTTTCTCTCACTTCCCACCACCCACTAACTTGACAACACATTTACCAAGCACCCACCACATGCAGGCTCTGTTTTGGCCACTGGGGATATTGCTGTGAGTAAGCAGACGAGACTCCTGCTCCCCCAAAAGTTGACACCCTAGTGACGGGGGGCAGAGACACAACCATACACAAGTGATAGGAGCTCTGAGGAAGAGACACAGGGTGATGTAACAGAACCGGAAGTGAGGCTGGAGAGTTGAGGTGGCCACGGAAGCACTGGTGTGAGCCCATCGTGTGAGGATCTGGGGCGAAGCATTTCAAGCCGAGACAACAGCTGGAGAGCAGGTCCTGGGGAGGACCCAGGGAGGCCAGCGGTGGAGGGGAACTTGGCCATTCGCTCCAAAAGGTTCACAGCACATCTCCTGGACCACTGCAGCATCTTCCCTGCAATGGCCTCCCTGCCTTCGGTCTCTCCTCTCCAATCCTCTACATAGCCCTGCCAGAGTGAGGTTCCAGATCCACTGGTGCCCCTTCCTTGCTTAAACCTTCGGTGGCTCCCCACTACCTTTAGGACAAAATCTTGGATGAATGCCTGAGTCTGACACTCAAGGCTCGCTGCTCACTGGCAGCTCTCGCGAGGTTGCCCCAAACACAGTGGGCGCCCTCCAACACCCCTGAACCTCCAGGTGCCTGTCTGCCTGCCTACAGAATGCACTTCTGGGTCTTTCTCCACCTTAAATGCTCCTGCTCCACGTGGCCATCTCCAGCTCTTTGCACACGCCTCCCTCCATCTCACACGTCATTCTGTCACTTAAGAATCTGTTCTGCGTGTTTATCTTTCTCATGTGACTGAGCTTCTGGAGCGCAGGGAACACATCTCCGTCACCTCTGTATTCATACTCCCTAGCACGGGCCCTGACACCAACTGGGCTCTCGGTAATTATTTGTGGAAAGAACCGATGGCTGTTTCACGGGTTGCTTTCCAAACTCTATTAGACTGTCCCGAGGGCAGAAAACACCCTCAGGCTAGATGATGGGCTTTGGATTGAAGATCATTCTGGCTGTTCCTAATGTGGTCAGGTGCCCAAAAGCCTGTATCAAATCATGACGATGTCATCGTGACAAGAGACACACAGCATGCCCACAGGACCCTAGAGCCAGAGAGCCTGGGTTTAAATACTAACTCTGCGACTATCAATGTGACCTCGGGCAAGTTAGACACCATGTTCTAAAATCAGGTAATTCACTGATATGCTTGGAATAGGACCAAACACGTAATAAGGGCTCAGTGTCTTGGGTGCCCTTACTATGAACTGAGGCAAGCAAGAGAATCTGACTATTGCATAAATCCCTGCCCAACTCCAGTGTGTGACCCTCACCCACAGCCACGTCTAGCCCTGGCCTCACTTTCACTGGCGGGAGTCCGACAGCCCTGCTGCTTCCCTCCCCAGCTGTGTACCTGTGTCTGGCAAGTACTGGAATTCCATGGGCTCGCTGAGCTCCCGATCTGAAGGCCGCCGCAGCTGCATGGAGACACGCACGGGGGCCTGCAGGCTGGGGTCAGCGTAGGGAGGTGTCCGGAACACAATGGCCACTTGTCGGTGGACGTCAGCTTGAGAAAAGGAGCCTCGGGCCTCCCAGCCTGGTCCGGTGAAATATACTTCAATGTCCTCTGCAGGAGATGGGGCAGCAATGTGGGTCACTGTGTTCAACTCACACAGCTCACCGGCCCCCCACAATTGCTGAGACTTGTTTCCTGAGATACATCACTCTGCTGCCCCCGAGGTGTTGGCGGGAGTGTTTAAAGCCAGTCTCCTGACACTCACCATCTCTGCTTAGCCTTGCCCCTCACCTCCTGTTCCAGAGTCCAGCCCTCTTCCTGGTGTATACCTTTCTGCACCTTGTCACACAGCAGGAAGATCTCATCCCCCCCGAGGCAGCTCCCAGAGTTTCGGTTCACTCGGCAGATCTTGAGCTCGGCGGTATTGGGGGCACCTGAGGGTGTGGGAATAAGGAAGGAAGCCCAGAACCATCAGAGGTCTCCAGTGCTGGCCCGCAGGAGATGCAACATCCCTGTCCATCCCAGAGTCAAGGCTGTCCAGAGCTTCCTGACCACACCTCTGCAGCCAAGGTTCGACCGATCCCATGGCTCCTCGCTCCCAACTTCTTTAGCAACTGTTTACATACTAGCACCTACTATGCACCCAGCACCGTTCTAGGCACGGAGAACACAACAAAACCCAAACATCTCTGACCTCATGGAGCTTATAGTCCAGGGGAACCAATCTGGTCACATCTCCTCTCTTTCCACCACACCCAAGCAACCTTCAGGGCCCAGTATGCTTGGCAACAAACCCTTCCCTCCTGACCTCAACTTCATCCTGGTTTCCTATCCCTTTTATTTTCATTCATCTTGGCTGGTTACATAATTTAAAAGACTGCAATTGATCAACATTGGCCCAATTCATCTGTGAACTTCCCGTGAGCTTTCATCATTGAATTACTACTCTGTACCATCATCTTGTTCCTGGGAGTTCATTTCCTGGAGTTTTTAGTACAGTTCTGGGCACACCATCCTCTCATCACCTATTCAGAGTGCCTGTCTTCCACTGGACTCCCTGCCAGCCTGGAAACTATGCCTCAAGGGCAGCTCAGGGTCTTCTCTGCCTTGTCCCCTCAGCCAGCACAGAGCTGGACATAGAAGAGATGACAAATACACAAGATGCCTGAATGAAGCCAGAGCTCCTCTCGCAGGCCATTCCCAGCCAACCCCCTTCCTCCTCCCAGGCTCGTCCCTCTCCCCTTCCCATGGCTCCTTGGCCACTTACGGTTGTCAAAGATGGGATGAGAGAGGACAGGTGACAAGCGGAGGGGCCTGCCTGCCGGGTCCCGCACTGTCACCTGGAAGCAGAGTCGCACCGCATTCAGGTCGTAGTCCCCACGCTGTTCTTCTATGGGAACTGTCACAAAAATAGATGGTCAGGGGATCGGGAGGTGTGGTGGGGAGTTCTGGGCCAGGGGAATTGCTTGAGTGTGTGTCAAACAGTAGGAGTCCTAAAGGAGGAGGGAGAGAAGGTTCTAGACCCATCACTGACCTGGGTGACCCACCTGGGAACCTGGATGTCATGTCCCCTCACTGGCTCCCAGTTTCCCCAGTGGTAAAATGGGAGTGTGTACTGAATGAGCAGCAAAATTCCATCTGTACTATGAGTCTTGGCCAATGAGGGAGAGATGCAAGGAAGGTGGCTCCGAAAGGATGACAGAGGGTGGGGGTCCTTCAGGCAGGTCCCATCCTTTGTTCCCTCACCCCTCACCTTGGAAGGGATTGTTGTTGGTCTGGATGCGTTGACTGATGGCCTGCTCCAGGTCCCGCTTCTTTACACACTGGATCCCCAGGTTCTGGAAGCTGAGTCCCCCCGCCAGGAATAAGTCCCCTTGTCTCTGCCCAGTCTGCCCCTCCTTCCCATACCCATTCACCAGATCACCACTGTGCTTCACCCCCTCGAATGGCTTCCTACGGTGCTGCAAAGAAACCCACTCCTTACCTTAGCTGACAAGCACCTGTGCCCTGCGGCCTGGCCCTAGCCACAGTCCCTGCTGGCCCCCCCCACCCTCAGCCGCAGTAGCTTCTTTTCTGTTCTCCAAACACACTAAACTCACCCCCTACTTCGAGACCTTTGCATTTGTTCACTCTGCTTGGAATGTTTTTTCCATGCTTCTCTGCTCTTTCTCACTATTCAAGCCTTAACTGGGAGGCCTTTCCTGACAATCCCCGGCCTCCCCTCCACCAGTCGGCTATTCTTCCAACCTAAAACTGTTTTTATTTTCATCAGTGAGGTTACTTTGGGGGTTCAGAGGTGATTACGGGGTCCATCCCTATCCCATGGAGCTCATATCTACTTGACAGTGGAGATGCACAAACAGGTAAGTTCAAAGCAAAGAGAATCTGCTTGCAGAGCTAGGAGTGAGGAATTCTGCCCCGTGTCCAGCTACATAACGGCCCTGCCTCCTGTCCCCCGACGTCACCCCCTATACCCTGCTGGTCAGGAGCTCACCTGTGGATGCAGCGGTCTGGGCAGAGCTCAGCCTCATAGAAGCCATCCCGGCAGTCTTTCCCCACAAGCTCATGGGGGTGAGGCCGGTGAGGGGGGTCCTTGGTGACCAGGGAGATGCGAACTGTCCCTGGCCCAGTGTAGCCATTGATCTGTTCAAAGTACAGAGAACATCTAGAGACTTGGGAATTCCAGTCCCAATTCCCAGACGCTGACTGCACCCAGGGCCTGGAGGTGAGCCTGCTGGGGTTCCGCAGTTCCTTCCCGCAAACCCACTCTGTGCGCCCCGCCCCCCCCCCCACCACCACTAACAGCCATGCTGACCTTGATGGTGGGGTGGGTCTTGGTGGTATCAGTGCTCCTCTCGCCCGGGATACTGCCGGCGGAGCGCCCCTCGCACTTGTAGCGGAAGCGCATGCCCCGCTGCTTGGGCTGCTCGATGATCTCCACATAGGGGCCGGAGGCCTGGGCAGGCTCTGCAGGCGAGACGCGGACCAGCCCCAATCAGGCGGCTGCCCTCCTTGTCCCGAACCCCCGGGGAGCTCCTCCCGACTCACTGAGAAAGGGTGGTCCACTTACCAGACGGGAAGATGAGGGGAAACAGGTCTGAAAGGAGAGGGAGACAAGGGTCGGCACAAGCCCACTTCCCATCCTTACCACGGTGGGCCTGCTGCCCCGCGGAGAGATGGAGCCAGACTCCCTCCCTCCCAAGGGCACTGAGTCAGGGCCTGCTCCCTGGAAAGCCTGCGGTGAAACTAAGGAGAAGGGGCAAAGTAGGCAGAAACACCTGTTTCCTGATGGAAAACTGGGTACAGCGTCCTCTCCCTACTGAGGGAAACGGAGTCAGGGCCCGTTCTACTTCCATAAGGAAAACTAAGGGAGGGCACTCCCCACACCTCACCCTGAGAGAAAACTGAGTCAGATACATTCTCCCCTAACAAGGAAACTAAGTCAGAACTGCCCCCATGGCCCCGGGCTGAAACGGAGTCAAAGCTCACCGCCCCCCTTCCCCGGAGGATACTTTGTCAAGACCCCGCCACCCAAAGGGGAAACTGAGTCAGACCCTTCCAAGCCCGCCCCGCCCCGCGCCACCATCCGGCCGGCCGCTCCCTGCGTAGCGCCCCGGCGCAGGAAGGGGCGGAAGGCGGCGCGGGGTCTCCCGTCGCCGTCCCCGCGGCCCCGACGCGGCCACCCCGCGGGGTCAGAGGGCGCCCTCACCGTCCATGGCCGGGGTCCCGGGGGCGGGGCCGGGGTCGCAGCTGGGCCCGCAGCGCGCGCTACAGCCAAGCCATTCGCCAGAGGCGGAAATGCGCCGCGCGCGCCCGCCGCCGCGTCACTGCCGGGAATCCGGCCGCGCCTGCGCGCTGCGCCGCCGCCGCCGCCGCTACCGCCGCCGCCGACTCGGCCGTCGTCACCCGCGCGGGGCCAGGTGCGCGCCCCGCCGAGGACTGGAGGTCGCGCGCGCCGCCGCTGCCGGAGGCTGGGAACAAGTGCGCGCCGCTCGGGGGACTAAGAAGCTGCTCGTCCCGACGCCGCTTCTGGGGCTGGCGGGGCTGCTGGGCTCCCTTCCTTGGTCTGGGCCCCGCCTGGAGGGCGGGCCCGACGATTACTCACAATGTTTTTAGGGGATTTCGGGGGCCCCCTCCCGCTGATCGGAGGAGTTTGGTGATGTCACCAGGCCCGGTCTGGAGCCCAGCCAGGGCTGCTGGCTGCGGCCGCCTTCCCTGCGCAGGGAAAGGCCCGGGCCTGCTTCGCCTGCAAAGGCCAGGTGGCTGAACACACGGTTTCCTAATCGCCAAAGGTGCTTCATGGTAGTTGTCGCCGCAGAAGCACTTTTTAATTTGCCATCCACCCCAATCTGAACGCAGCGGGGGCAAAAGGGAACGACCGGACTTTTCCACCTGGCAGTGCTTGGACCGTGGGTTTCGCAGAGCGGGCTGTACGCCAGGGGCGACCGAGGCCGCGCTGAGTCGGCTGCCGCTAGCCAGGGGGCCGGAGGGCTCGTAGGTTTAGGATTCATATGCGTTGGGCGCCTGGGTGGCTCAGATGGTTAAGCGTCTGTCTTCGGCTCAGGTCATGATCCCAGGGTCTTGGGATCGAGTCCCGCATCAGGCTACCTACTCCTTGGGAGCCTGCTTCTCCCTCTGCCTCTCTCTCTCTGTCTCTCATGAATAAATAAATAAAAAGTTAAAAAAAAAAGATGCATATGCGTTTACGATTCATCCATACTGCGGGTCCTGGGGGGACGATGGATGGACAGGGGTAAATATCCTCTCTGCCGCCAGATGTCTGTGTCTTAGAAGGTCCCGGACCCCTGGTGCCGCTTCAACCGGCAGGGTCATTTCCCCCTCTCCCCCGCCCATCTCCCCAGGACCTACTGTTAGGGTCCAACCGTTGACCAGAACATTTCCACTAATTACCCATCAAGTGACCTCTCGGCGGGGGGCGGGGTATCGTCCCCAAGGCCAAGCCCATATGCGTATGCGGGGTGAGGGAGGAGGCTGGAGTAACCCCCACTCCAGGCTTTTTGCTCATCCCCAAAGGAAGCTGCCCCGGTGGCAGGCTGCAGATTCTTCCCCAAATGGAGAAAGACTGACTTCGTTCTAAATTAGGGAATCATGTGGGAATTGGAAAAGATTGGAAATTCTGACTTGCTTTCCCAGGCTCTGAAAAAACAGGAAGAGAAAAGTGAAAACAGTTAACCACCCCTCCCACTCATTTCAGTTTCTCCTTTGGCTGGCCCGGATTTGAAGAGTCAGCTCACTTTTTTTTTTGAGGAGGCCGACTTGAGGTCGACAGAATGGATTAATTACAATCTTTGGCTAATGACACAATTAGTGATCCTTGCATGATCCTCTTTTAAAAATTCACATATATTTATAACTTAACACGTGGAATTGCACTGTGCCAAAACAAGGGGCTAGGTAGAATACCACCAGGACTGTGTCCACCCACCACCTGTTCATCCCCCTACACTGGCGTCCCATGCACCATCACCCAGTAGTCTGTGTTACTGCCTTGACATGTTTTAAAAGAAAAAAAAAGAAGTACTCACATATACAGGCCTACACAATATGTTGTTTGGTTTTGATGAGTTCTGAACTTCTATGAAGAGAGTTATCATACTACTTTTCCTTGGTTATTTGCTTTTATTACTCAACATATTACTAAGATTCATCTGTTCCATTGTTCATTCACTTTTTACTACTGTATACTATTCTGTTGTGTGAATATACCATGGTTTGTTTGTTTATTCATCCTGAGAATGGCCACATGGGTTTCTGTGGCTTTTTTTTTTTTTTTGCTATTATAAACAGTGTTATTAAGAACATTCCTGTGTATGTGTCCTGTTGTACATGTATCCAGGGTTTTTTGGGGGGGTACATACCCAAAAGTGATTTATTAGGGTATAGAATTTCCCTTTATCAGTTTTCTAAATAAGGTCTTAGTTCTCTCATATTCTCCAAAATTGATAAATAGGCATTTTTAAATTTTTAAATTTTTTTTAAAGATTTTATATATTTATTTGACACAGAGAGAGCACCAGCAGGGGGAGGAACAGAGGGAGAGGGAAAAGCCGACTCTGAGCTCAGTGCTGAGCCTGATATAGGGCTCAATCCCATGACCCTGAGATCATGATCTGAGCCAAAATCAAGAGTCAGAGGCTTAACCGACTGGGCCACCCAGGTGCCTAGGCATTTTAAAAAAATCTTAATGAATGCATAGATTTAAACATATTTGATGTGCTTTGATCTGTTAATATTTGATCTATTGTTATTCTTTTTTTTTAAGATTCTATTTGACAGAGAGAGACATAGTAAGAGCAGGAAGACAAGCAGAGGGAGTGGGAGAGGGAGAAGCAGGCTTCCCGCGGAGCAGGGAACCCGATGCGAGGCTCGATCCCAGGACCCTGGGACCATGACCTGAGTGGAAGGTAGACGCTTAACAACTGAGCCACCCAGGCACCCCTGATCTATTGTTATTCTTATTGAAGTTCAAATTGTTCCATCTCTGACCAGTGGAAGTCTTTTCAACTCTGTTCTTCAGGACTTTTGACATAATTCCACAATTCCGAGATCTGGAATTGGAAAGCTTTCTGAAGAGCCTGGTTCTTCTTAGTGGGAAATGGTATTTAGAGACCCCAGTCTTAGTGCTAGTATCAATAAGTATCGATACTGGGTGAGTCATTGTACATCTTTTCAATAAAGAGACTATATATATAAAATAAATGCATCAGGAGTTCGCATTGGTATCTCCTTTTCTTTTTTTAGATTTTTTATTTATTCATTTGAGAGAGAGACAGAGAGAGAGCACAAGCAGGGGAGAGAGGCAGAGGGAGAAGCAAACTCTCTGCTGAGCAGGGAGCCCAATGTGGGGCTCGATCCCAGGACCTAGAGATCACGACCCGAGCTGAAGGCAGATGCTTAACCATCTGAGCCATCCAAGCGCCCCGTGATATCTCCTTTTCAAATTTAGGACCACAGGGTTTTAACTTAACCTCAATTATCTTATGTATTTCTCCTGTGTTTAAAAAAAAAAAAACACAACTCAATTCTCTTTTTGCAGACATAGAACAATGCATTCTTAAGTTCATATGTAGTCTCAAGGGACCCTGAATAGCCAAAACAATCTGGAAAAAGAAAAACAAAGTTGGAGGACTAATACTTCTTGATTTCAAAACTTACTACAAAAGAATACTAATCAAACTAATGTGGTACAGATATATAGATCAATGAAATAGAATAGATAGCTCAGAAAAATAAACTCTCATATATATGTTTGAATGATTAAAAAATTTTTTTTTTATTAATCAGAGAGAGAGAGAGAGCACAAGCAGGGCGAGCAGCAGGCCGAGGGAGAAGCAGGCTCCCCGCTGAGCAAGGAACCCGATGCAGGACCCCATCCCAGGACCCTGGGATCATGACCTGAGCCAAAGGCAGATGCTTAACTGACTGAGCCAACCAGACGTCCCTATATGGTTGAATGATTTTGGAAAAGAGTGCTAAGACCATTCAGTAAGGAAAGAACAGTCTTTTCACAAATGGTGCTGGGAAAACTGGATATCCACTTTCAACAGAATAAAGTTGGACCCTTACCTTACATCATATACACAAATTAACTCAAAATAAATTGAAGACTTAAAGAACTAAAACCATAAACTCTTTTTTTCTTTTTTAGAGGGGGAGAGAGAGTGAGCGAGTGAATGCATGGTGTGGGGGGAGGGGCAAAGGGAGAGGGAGAGAGAATCCTAAGCAGAGTCCATGCCCAGCGTGGAGCCCAACGCCAGGCTCAGTCTTACAACCCTGAGATCATGACCTGGGTCAAAATCAAGAGTCGGACACTTAATCAATTGAGCCACCCAGGTGTCCCAAACTATAAAACTCTTAGAAGAAAGCAGAGGGGAAAATCTTCATGACATTGGACTTGGCAGTGATTTCTTGGATATGACACAACAACACAGGCAAACAAAGAAAAGAGATTTTAAGAAATAGATAAATTCGACTTTGTCAAAACTGAAAACTTTTTTGCATCAGAAGACACTATCAATGGAGTAAAAAAGCAACCCACAGAAGGGGAAGAAATGTTTACAAGGCATGATCAGATAAATATTCATATCCAGGATATATAAATAACTCCTAAAACTCAACAACCACCACCAAAAAACTCAATTCAAAAATAGGCAATGAGCAGATATTTCTCTAAAGATATAAAATAGCAAATAAGCACATGAAAAGATGCTCAGCATTAACAGCCATCAGAGAAATGACTAATATACAAAGTTTAATACAAAGATGAACACAAATATGAACACAGAGTTTAATAAAACAGTGTAAATATTGTCTATAAAACCATATAAATAGTTTTCTTGTTGGAGCTGGTTGTTGGTGGTGTTGTTGGGGTGTGTGTGTGTGTGTTTTAAGTAGGCTTCACACCCAGCATGGAGCCCAACACAGGGCTTGAACTCAGAACCCTGAGGTCAAGACCTGAGCTGAAATCAAGAGTCAGACACTTAAACGAGGACACCCCCAGGTGCCCCGTTGTTTTTTAAGTAGGCTCTACACCCAACGTGGAGCTTGAACTCATGACCCTGAGATCAGGAGTCGTATGCTCTACCAGCTGAGCCAGCTAGGCACCCATGGAGCTGGTTGCCCCTATTTATTTGCTTTTTAAAAGATTTTATTTTGGGGGCACCTGAGTGGCTCAGTCATTAAGCGTCTGCCTTCGGCTCAGGTTATGATCCCAGGGTCCCAGGATCGAGCCCCGCATCAGGCTCCCTGCTCAGCGCAGAGCCTGCTTCTCCCTCTCTCTCTGCCTGCCGCTCCCCCTG